ATTTATGCTTATTGGAGTAGTAGAATCAAGAAAAGACAACAGTAAAATATGTTCAAGAAGGAAAAAGGTTGAACAGATTTATATTTTTGTAGAAATAAGCTTTCCAAGGGATGCATAATTAAGTAAATTTATGTTTGTGGAATGTAGGCATTTCTATTGGTGGTGTTACTTAGACACAACTATTCAACTTGAACTATACATTTTTGCAATGATAAGGATTAATGGATTTTTTCAAAGCTAAAACTGTTTATTCAAATAACAGCATTATTTTGAAAAGAGAAAATAAAGTTTTAAAAGGAAAAGGTTTGGTTAAAAATAGGTTTTGAATAAAAGTAATTTGTCCAAAAAATTTTGCAATCTCTTACCTGAACCTGGATCCTTATTTATAACACACTCAATTAGCAAGTTAACCTTGCCCAATAGGTATAAGTGGTTCATAGCCACATGTGGTGTTAGCACACAGCAGCCCTCAGCCCTCTTTCCTCGGAACCTGAGGGCTACAGCCATCTCTTGAGCAACCAATCAAAATAAAGATGTGAATCTATTTTTCACCTTTCCCATGAATTTCCTTCTTCCAGACAATAGACACAAGTGTAAAGTCAAAACCACGAACACACAAGGACAGAACTAGCTCATTTTTACCCTCAGGACTGAACTATGCGCATTCTTCTTAGGAAGATAGTATTCTCCAAATAAAAAGAAATTATTACTGTTTTTGGAAATTTGAAACCAATTGATTTCACCTTGACTTCAGTTTCCCCCAACAACCACGCCACATTGATTGAGAAACCTCTATTACAAAGTGCCTTAGCCCAAGATTCTCAGAATTAACTTCAAAAAAATCTTGACTAGCAGAGTGAATGATCTTAAATAATATTTTTAAACTGACAAATTAATTTTTTGGTTTATTTCTTGATGGGCACTGTTGTTCTTTTCTTTGTTGTTGTTCTTTTCTTAAAAAAATAAATCACTTGATTGGGGGTTCTTACAACTCATAACAATCCATACATCAATTGTATCAAGTACATTAATCTTTTTAGCTGAGGTTTTGAGTGAGTTTTTAGAGTGTGTACATTTTGAGATTTGTTACTTCCCTCTCATTATCCTAGAGGGAAAAGCACAGAAGCTATGCCTATATTTAAATTTTATCAGTAGTATATACAAGCCAAAAGTACATAATGAGTACATGCTTCATTAATGCTGCATTTCTCTCTAAACTTATGAATGAAATACTTTTATTCATTTTCTGGATAACAATTCAGAAAAAACTCAAGAATGTGTGTTTCTGCTATCTTAAGGACAAACCATTTGCAATAAAGGGGGTGGTGGGATTTTGCTTGAAAAGAATGAACAGAAATGACATTTAAAGATCACAACAATTTGACGAGGAAGAAAAAAGCCAATCCAAAGTTGAACAAGTTAATATTAGCATAATAGGAATAATCAGTGTGTGTTGCGGAGATTTGGGTTTCAGCTGTTTAATGAGTCAAACGTTTTCAGCCTACTCATTACATTGTTTTTCCTCACATAGTAACTGCTCATCTGTACACCAGCCTCCATTGTCTTCAGATGCTACACAAATAACTGCTTTAATCATCACTTTCAGAAAGTACTATGACCCATGTCAAAACATTACAAACCCAGTAGCCTAGTGAATGTAACCAGACTACTAATTTATTACATTACATATTGATATAGGAGGTGGCTTTTGCTTATGGTTATGAGTACACGGGTCCTCTGGCAGGCTACCTCCAAACAGTTCAACTCTCCAGTCTTCCTTCCATTCCTAATGTCCAAGGGTAAATCAAGGCAAGAAATAGGGGATGCAGAGGAAAAAGATAGCTGCTCATCCTATTTTTACGTGCAGGGCAATGGGAGGTGGAGTAAGTCTTAGGGGCTGCTTATAAGTTAATTTATGTATAGCATTAAGAATCTGGAACATCTTTGTGCAACATCAACAGAGATAAGAAAAACACTTTCTTATTCCTGTCTTGGCTGCCAGGACCTAGGCACTCAGCTAGACTTAGGAAACCAATTAAGTTGACTGAGTCTCAACTCGCAAAAACCTGGTGTGTCAGTGACAGATTTTGGTGGGGGGAGTATACAGCCAACACTTTCTTTTAAGGCTTTTATGGTTGGACTAGAAACCCAAACTTCCCAGTTACCAGCTGAGCATGTTAACGGTTTACACTATTTAGGGACTCTGCAGGCAGCAGCAACTCCCTTCTTTTACTCCATAACAAAGTGCAGTAGGGCCATGTTTTGCTCAAAGAAGACCTCCCCATTCAAGCAAAATGCTAGCACCACTTGAGCCACAGTTGTGTTGTAGGATCCGGAGCCTGTCACCAGCACACACAGGGCTCATACTCCCTGAGACCACTTAAAAATCGAGCAGCACCATGATGCCCTCTGCAAACATGTAAAGGAAAAACAAGGGCTCTAGGCTCCTATTTGTGTAGGTGCTGACATTGCACATGCTCTTTTGCTAACTGAAAGGTTGGAGCCTCAAACACACCCAGAGTCACTTCCGAATAAAAGCATGGCTATGTATTTCTGTAAAAAAGATCAGCCACTAAAATCTCTAAAACTCTACTCTGAAAAAATAGGGTCACCATCAGTTGCAGTCAACTCAGTAGCAAATGGTTTGGGTTGTTGCTGCTAGACTTTGGAGGGCAAAGCCAGATCTTTCCACCTTAAGAAATGGCCGAAAACCAGCCTTACCTGAAGAGCTTCTTGGGATCCCAAAACTTTCGCATAGAGCTCACAAAGTTTCTTCAGTCTATTTGTAAAAAAAGACAAAAGTCAGTCATCCAGCCCCTCATACCAAATGACCAGTGAGCCATCGCGTCCACTTTGACATTTCATTTTAATTTTTAAAAAGAAAACACGTAGTTCTTTCTTACATGTTTAACATCTTCGTGATTGGCAATATTACAAAAGACACTATAGTGATGATTTGCTTCAATCCTTGGCAGCACAGGGCAATCGGTTCATTCATTCAAGACAAAGCACTGTATTCCTTTGCAGTATCAGCCACCCTACTCAGCATTGGAAATCTTGCAGAGCTAACCTATGGTCCAGACTGCCCTCTTTATTCCTCTCCTCTACTTACTGTAAGGCAATGAGCGCGGTAGATAGAGTAGGTGGTAAGAAAAGCTTGGAATTCTGCTTCCACTTCTTAAATACTGGGAACACCCCAGCAGGCTACTCGAGTTCTCTGAGCTTTCATTTTAATCTATACTCTTCCATAAATTGTGCAATAATAAATTAAACCAGTATGGTCTCCACCATTTCATCAGCACCACCTAGGCACTCCTTAGCAATAAAAACTCTGGAGCCCGTCCCACCCCCTTGTCATGGGCTCAGACTCATAGCAGCGCTGGGCACAGCCAGATGTGGCACCAGCCTCACAATTGGAATGGTGTTTGAGCCGATCATTGCTGCCACTGGGTCAACCCAGCTCCTTGAGGGGCTTCCTCCTTTGGGGCTACCCTTCTACTTTATTGAACATGATGTCCGTTTCCCGGGATGGGTCTCTCGCCTGGTAACATGTCTAAAAAGTCTCACCATCTTTGCTTCTAAGACGCTTTCTAGCTATCCTTCTTTCCAGAACAATTTACTCCGAAACAGGGAGAGGCAGCAATCTGTGCTTTTATAACTGTTCATGAAATTCTCAAGTTTAAAAACTACTGATCTACGTTTATTACGTGCTCAGTCCACCAAATGGTATATAACAAATGTTAAATGAATTTCAGCTCTTTAGAAGTTTAGTGTAATGGGGGCATTGGAAGTAAACACACTTCAAGTGTGTAGTGCGTTACAGCAGTTCTCGAGCTGGCCTCTAAATTCTGGTGAGATAGACTCCATACTGTACTTTGGCTCTCGTGGACTTGTTTTCATTTGCTTCAGCTTCAATTTGAATTTGCGTCTGAGCAATTGCTGGACTGCTCCACAGTCGGGCCCTAACCATGTTCTGACCGATGATGCTGAGCTTCTCCGTGGTCTTGATCCGCACACAAAGTGAGGTCAACTTGTATTGCCATTGACGTTACTTTTTTGTTTTAAAAAATATTTGCAAGGAATAAGTCATTAGTTTTGTAAAATTCCATCAAGAATAAAGGCCAGTTTTGGATACAGTTCTGTAACAATAGTAATAACAACCAAAAGAATCTGTGAGTGGTTACATATGTATGCTATATCGGAGCAAAAGGGCATATGGAAATACATGTCTGTGCACATATAGGTACAGTTGAAGACATTTCTGTATACTTTTATATGCGATATATATTTATATGTATAATAAGTACTGCTACTAAAGTATATGTGTATAATAAAGCACATAGAAAACACAGGTATGGAAACAGCTTAGGTATGTCCCAAACCCTTGTGAGGCTGAGTTACTAGGCTTGAAGGCACAAGACAACAGTCTCAGGGGACATTTGGGTCAATTGGCATAACATAATTCATAAAGATAATGTTCTACATCCTAATTTGGTAAGTAGCATCTTGGGTCCAAAAAATTTGAGAGTGACCTTATAAGACACAACTATTGGGAGCTCCCATTGGGAGCAAAGAAGAGTGAATGAAACCAAAAGTTCAAGGAAACAGGTAGTCTGCAATGACTCGTGGTTCACACAAACCACAGCCTCCCCCAGCCGAAGATGAGGAGGCCTTGATGGTGCTTTCCTGCCACTACATACACTATGACCCAGGACATGATGCATGCTCTTAATTAGAACAGAATAAAAAATGTAGTCTATCTCAAATTCATAGAAAAGACCAGACCTACTGGGCTGATTCAGAGTAGCACCCCCCCCAATAATATTGCCCTGATGTATCTTTTCAGTTTAGGAGTGAAGTCTCTTCTGGTGGTCACCTTTTATCCACGAGGTATGTGCTCCTTAGAACAATCAATTCCGTGAAATGAAAGGAGTCCCAAAACAAAGATGGGAAAGTACGGAGGGGCAGGAAAACTGGAGAGAGAGAAAGTCAGAAGGCAGGCTAGAGAATGCGGATGCCTTTGGGGGATGCCCATCAATGTAAATGAATAATTTGTGTATGAATTGTTGAATGAGGAATTCATTTACTATGTAAACTATCGCCTAAAACACAAGAACATGTTTTTAAGAGGTAGAAAGCAGGCAGGAACAAAAAGGAGGGAGAGAAGCAGGAGAATAATGAAGGAATGAGGGGAAAAATGAACCTTTTTTCTTACCTTTCCTCTTTGCTAAGACGTGCCAGTTTTCTGGCTTTGTGGGAAAGGATAAACCTAAAGCATAGAAACAAGAAAAAGGAATAAATTACTGATTATTTTAATCCTGATCCCATAACCACAGCCTCAAAACTCCAAAGAAACACTATCTTGTTTTTTAAGTTCAGAGTTTTACTATCTACATATTACTTTTATTCTTGACACTGAAGGTTGCTTTTAGCTTCAAGGATTCAAAAGGCTGACAAATAGATGAATGGTCATAGTTTTTGCCTGGGCTACTCCTAGGACTGGCTCACATTACAACCCCCATTATGGCTGATGGTCAACGTAAATGAGCCAGACCTTACCTGCCTGCTTAAGGCAATGTCTGAGCCCTTCCATTTTCTCTCAGCCTTTGCTCCTTAGCATCCAGCCTTCTGGAATTTGTCTCTGATTTCTAGCTCAATGATTGCCTTCAACTTCACAACAGGCTTTGATATGTCAATCCTAATCCTTGGTTCTTGCTGAGATAAACGCATACCTATCCTATGGTAGAGCTCAATTTTTGTTCTTCCTGGTAACTGCCTTTCTGGGCCAAGTTCTGGCCCTCAAGTCATAGCCCAGCAGCACAGTTTGTCCCTGACAGGCAGAGGCTGGGGATGGCCTAGACTCTCGAGGGAGACCCGGACAATCTCAGAAGGCAACAAAATAGAAATATCAGACCAAGTCCACACAACCTTCACAAGAAATCCCCCCAGCATTATATATGGAACGTGAAATTAGATATAACAAATATTAAAATGTTACCAGGATTCTATTTCTTTAAGAAAAACTTATTCATTGAATACATTTTTTAAAAACAGAAAGA